TTTAAAACAGTTCATAGGTTTAATCAGAGTGAGTTTTCTAAGCTGGAACTAGGAACTAGTGAAGCCGCGAAAGTGCAAAACGCCCGCTCCCCCGTCGGCGAACTGCGCCCCAATCTCAGCGTTGAGTTCTTCTACTGAAAGCCAAAAGCACACTCGCTTACCTGATTCAAAAGCACAACAAAATGTTTCTCCGTAGCCGACGGATGTCCTAATTTGTTGGGCCGGAGTCCTTCTGCACGTTCACACCTTTGCAGATACGAAATGTTGTTAGTTGAGCTCATCGAAAACCAATAATTCACGAACCAATCAAACAGCCGTAGCAGCGGATTTAGGATCGGTTTATGAACGAGAAGGCAATGATTCTGAGTATGACTCTCCGAGACGATCAGCTCGTATATTCGACCAGAGCTAACTGTAAAACATTATATGGCGCTTCAATTACAATAAACGCCACTTCAAAGCCTTAAGATGAAAGAGGGGAAGCTCTCAGCGTTGACCAATCCCTCCCTGATATGCGCCACGCTCTACTGCCATTCGAAATAACTAATGACTTTCGAATGTAATTTGGTCCATAAAATGACTTCCAGAGGCCAGCAGATCTACAAACCAGGGCTTATAACCTCCCATATCAGTCAGCTCCAGAGGGGCGGAAAGCCCTGTCGACATACTACCAAGTAGTAACGCTCTCCGTCAAAATATTTACAAATCAACCTGGCTACGATCTTACCGAATTTTCCCCAAAACTCAACGTCAAGCATAGAGGAGGAAGGTGATCTACGACCAGCTATTAGAAATGACAGTTATGCCACGCCGGATCCCACAGGAGGAGGGGATGTTCCTTTCATGAACCCCTCACAGAGGAAAGATTCACTGAAGCTCCAGCTCGAAGCAAGAGGGAAGATTATGTTTCGCTCACTTCCCGTCCAAAAGGACTTGCGGACCAGAAGCTCGACTCTGCCCAGTATTTCGCACTGGTTCGATTTTTCAACCGTCAATGAATCTCGTTTAATCTTTCTCCTCAAAGGAACTAATAAATGGCGCTCACCTGACACGTCGGCTTCAGAAAATCAGGAACTTGAATCGCCCAGTCGAGAACCATTTCCATGATTTGATTTGTAAAATATCTATCAAGAATAGGTCCTATGGCAGGTTCCGGTTGTGCGTTCACTTCCATCATTAGGAGCTGGCACATTCGGTCAGTTGAGCTACCAGATGTGTCATCTGTGATTAAATGGCAATAAGTACTTCAATAAAAAAAATAAAACTTGATCATCAAGTCAAAATCCAAAGCCTAGTAGTGAAAATAAAACAAAACAAATCGATTACCTCGTTATAGGTAATATCATGCTCTGGATGACTCGCTTTCTTTTCGAGTATCTTCTCCGCCACATTCCAACACTCACCGAATTTCCGTTCCCATTCAGAGGGATCGGACGCGTACGCAACGCTCCAGCTCTCTGATACCGACTCTGGAAATAGCAGCAATATCACATCTGAACACCACATAGAACTGAACTATCAGTAACATACCTTTACGAGGTGACTCGCTGATTGCCGATGAGTTCGGCGACGGGCTCGGTGAACCCAGTCGTGACAACCACCGTATCATTGAGCCTCACATGCAATAGGGCCTAGGAAAAACCGTATGTATCTAAATTTGAAGGCCACAGCAAAAATAAAACAGTCAGAAAGGTAACTATCAGATCGATAGAACTGGTTATAAGGAGCGGACGCAATTGTAAAATAGTTTATCAACAAGAACATCAACAATCAGAACTGTCACAACATCAACAATTAATAGAAGGGTAAAAGACAAGTGTAATATAACAAATGTGTAATAAATGGAGATCACTATATTTCAAGAAGATTATTCAAAATACTCAGTTTAGCTGGATGATAGTATTTCGAAGTTGAGTTCCTGAGTAGAACAATTCCACCATTCTTACGGACATCTTCAAGTTGTGCACAACGGAACGTAAGACAGAGCTCGACCACAGGCTGCGTAAAAGGAGAAGTCACCGCGTACTATTCGACCAATAATCAGTCTGAAATGACAAAAAGTCGTTGAGTACTGCACTGTTTGGTGTTGAAGGGGAATGCGCGCTTCGCTTTCACTGATCGCCCAAAGGATGGGTCGTAATCAGTACATACCCTCGTATGTTACAAGAGATCGTAATTTTGCCCGCACTGATGCTGTGTGCAGCACCGCGCGTCCGAGTGTACATGGCGCCAGTCTAGGATGGCAGACAACAAGCACCTTCAGAAGCCGAAAAATACTCCATGAATGTCACTGATGGGGTCTTCATTTAAGTCCGACGTTCCAAACGACAGATGAACACTAGTAAAGAGAATGCCGCGCTCATCCCCGTGCGTGACGAAGCGAGAAATTACGATTCTCTTGCCCATCTCCCCACATACCCTACACCCAACAAGCTTCAAGATGTAAGCTTGCTGCTATTGTTTTATTATACATTTACTAATGAATTCGTTTGAATACACCCGATAGAGTGCCCAGACCTCGATAATTAAACTTAAAAAGCAACAAATGGCACAGTGAAAAATGAAGAAAAAAAGCATAGAAAAATAAACAAAAAATGATAGAGCAATGAGGTCATCCCCCCCCTTAGGCAGACGAAAGAGTTCACCCGAGAGGTCCTGGTCCTTGGTTCAAAACACAAAGAGACGACGACAGTTCGGGGACCTGCTGTCAACTCAACACCCCCCCCCCCTTGGTCTGCTTTCTTGCGGTTATGAACAAATTCGTCCGAGACCGCACGTCAACATAATGGGGACTTCACAGTTGCAAAAAATAAAATGGAACGAGCTATGAAATGGCATGTGCAACTTATCCTTTGAAGAAATTCTGAAGGAAAACTGCCCAATGATATAAATCACCCAGTACTAATGAGTTGGTAAGGCGGAGGTGATGTAGAGGCAAGTGAAGCCACTTAACTCACTCTTGAAAAAAAATCGGGTTGGCCTCCCCCAAGCCAAACAAGCTTGCCATACTTTCTGGAAAAGTTCACATTGCCAGACCTTTTTGGGAAAACAAAAATACCTCTACGATTTCAATTAGAAGAAGAATGCGCGGCAAGCAGTTTCGGTACAGTCCGGGCATTTTTGGTATAACTGAGTTTCGCACGATTCCGCCGGCAGTAACGGTACCAAGAAGTCTCCCGGTATCGGCGACGACAGGTCAACTGTCATAAACAAGCCTCACTTGCCTTCAAGAGGAGTCAGGCTTGTATGAGTGCTCTTACTTTTTGCTATCCCATTATCCCCGGTTCTTTTAAGAAAACTGAAAACTCAAAAAATGGATGTACAGTGGCAACATGGTAGCGGCGCAAGGTAGAGCGATATATGTGGCACCAGTCTATCCCGACAACGAGTACAATCAGAAAAAAACTTTTTTTTTTCGTTCTACTACTATATTACTCCCACGTCTAGTTATTCTGCGAAAACAAAAATTTCATGTGCAAGTTAAAAGCCCACAGGCTCACTTTGAAGGAGTATTTACAGATGATTTTACAATTTGGACATGCGCTGTCCTTATGTGCATAGAAGCGAGTGGAAACACATTGGGAGGAAAAAATTGGAAAAGAAAAGCAAACCTGTTCGCTGACTCTCTATGGGGAACTTTCTCCTTTTCCTCCTTTTCTTCATTCAATTCTCTTAGGCGCTCTTCTCTATTCACGCGACGTCGTTTTGCGCTTTCCTTTTTCTTCCGATTCGCGATCTTTCGCTTCAGCGTTCTGGAAAATAAATCATAGCACGGTGGAGCAAACTATTACCAATACATACCCAGTCGATCGGAATATTTTGCGATACTTCAAAAATTCGGGTACATTGCAATTTAATTGAAATGCAGGTAATCACCTATCTATGCCTTTACGGCCTCCTCTTGCAATTTAGAGAAGCCGATTGAGAACAACAAAGGAGTAATAACAGACTGAATGGAGTTTGGACCCACCTGTCAACAACCTTGTTATCAGGGAATAGGTTCTTCAATGAGATGGGTTTCTCGCGTGATGACTGATCTAACGATACAACATCTTTCCATATATCAGCCTTCACGGAGCTTGCTTGCTAAACATTACATAATTGCATGTTTAATGTATTCAATAAACGTACTCTGCAAGCGGCACGAACTCGACGACGGCAGAAATGACGTGTTTCAGACGACATCAGCCCCCCCTCCCCCTCGCCCGAAAGTTTCTTCCCTCCGGTGCGACACCTATCTCCCATATTAAGTTTATCGTATTTTTTTCTCCTACCTCAGTGAAGTTCCAAAATACTTTCTAGTGTTTCCCTCTACAGAAAGGAGATCGCCGATAAACACAACACTCTCACACACCCATCTCTCAGATACTGCCTCTAAGTTCAGTTCTATAGGACCTTTGACCAGCGCCCCAATTAGGGTTCAGACCAGAATACCCCCCCACGAACCAAGAACAAAAGACTCCCTCCACACGAGAAGTATGACCTCTGGTGGTTTTCCAGCGATCGTCGCACCCGCTGAGCTTTTTACACAAAAACAGTGTATGTGCTTTATTGCAGAAACAACTGAACTGAAACTGGTAAAGGCAACGGGCACGATAGCTGTGGGGGCGGTTTTTGCCAATGTAACTGATGGTAGGGCTGACTGGGTAGTGGCCAAACGCCCTGATGCAGCCTTTCCATCAATGAGCGCATGGCAACAACCGATATATATACCCTTCCTTCGAGGCACATCCTATGAGCGAGTCATCCGGATCATTGCACTTTCCCCATTGTGTGATCCTCCTTTTCTTCTTCCTGAAGTGTCTCTCAGCGCAGTTGTACAAGTGCTTCCACCCGCACGATCAGCGCGGCGCGAACGAGGTCTCTCAGGGTCTCAATGGAAGGGGTGGGTCTACGTCTTCCGGATTTGCAGGTATCGTCTCTAGCAATCCGAAATTTTATCTTCAAATAATCCGAAAACGAGACCGAAAATCTGAAAAAGCTAAGTTCCGTACACCACTGAATTCATTACGAGCACGACCACTGACCGATTCAACTTTTGAATCTTCCAGATCACTTTTTCCACAAAAATTACGGGCGAGACGGTGAAAAAAAAATTGTCGTAAAGCATCGACCGCAACCAAGTTCGGCATCCTACCTTTTCAAGCCCTATCTTCCATACTAACAAGCACAATTTCATAGCTCAGAGAAAAATTAACTGACCTCAGACTCCATTGAGTTCTCCTCCGCTTCTGCACGAGAAACACGTGGCTCTTGTTCAATCCTAACTGGACCGTTTTTGTGCCGATTTCTAATCTAAAATCAATCCAACGATTGGAACGCAAACTGACACTACCTCTGCTTGGACTGGATGTATGACACTGTGCTGATTGTGAGAAAACAGTAGGACATTCAGTCTAATTTTTCTTTTTAATTCTGCCATTCGCAATTACTCTAGGAATCCGGATCCGCACTTATACCTACATTACGTGATAATGAATTTCCCCATCCAAGCGTTCTCTCTCTCGCAAATTATTTCTGATGGGTTAGACAATCTTGATTCGTCGCGCTGATGGGCACTGATGTCGCTTGCTGGCAACTGGATAGTTCGCAGCCGCATACACGATACAGTCATGTCGGTTTTTTACTAGTAGAACACCCAGACAGGGGTGAGGTAAGTTACGGATGTTGGCTAGCTTGTCTGTTGGGAACATCTTACTGAACTGTCGCGCGATCGTGCGGGAAATTACGATTGCCCTGACCGTCTTTAATAAGTACTTATCGAGGGCACAGATGGGGTACCAACAGTTTGCTGGAAGTAAAAGATCGTGCTTCTGTCACATGCATCGTTGAGCGTTCACAACCAGGGCCGGGTCTCGTACCGAACCACTGGGCCTTCAATCCTTTCGGGGTTGGAAATTTGACGCCAGACTCGTATGGGAGGATGAAAAGGCGCCGCTCGGCTTGGGGGGGGGGTATTTTCCATTCTCGCTATTTCTCAGCTCGTATCCATTGCTTTACAAGGGTACAAAAACTATGATGTTATCACTTCATGGTTTCATCAGATTTCACCAATTTCTTTCTGATGGCTCAACACAATAAGAAGTAGCGAAAGTGTGAAATGCACCCCTCCCCCAACCCCTACGTCGCCGAACTGCGCCGGATTCACAGGTTCCCAGACACTTCATATTCAATATTGATCACTAACATCGACAAAAAAGGAAAAAATACGTAAAAGGAAAGACAGAAAAAAAACACGTGTTTCGGTTGAGGCGAGAGTACCTAGGTGCGCCGTGTACCCCACTGCACATGCTTAGGTCTTATATTAGAATAAAAACCCATAATAAACAGGGGCTCCGAAAGCAGCGTAGTACTTAAGCTGTAGTTTATAGCCCCACTCAGAATTGTTTGTACACTTGGCACAGTGCTGAGCAGTAGGAACAGCGCATCAATAAGGATAAAGTGCTCATAAGAGAATAGTCTCCGATGTTGATCAAATTCTCTTTGGGACGATCCCTATCGCATTCTCCTTCCATTTAGAATCGTGGTGGCTTATTGAACCTCAGGCTTTGGGGTCCTTGGTTAGCCTATGAATGACTTGCGTTGACAAGCCATGTACAACTCAGTTCCCCGGAGAGCAGAAGGCTTAGTTGGCCGATCGATGTGCGCATGGTAACGCGCCGTGGTACATCACCTGCACCTCAGGAAAAAAAGTAACAATTGTATTAAAGGTAACCCACCTTGTCCAGGTCGTCCTTCGTTGGCAAGCAGACAATTCCATATCGTCTCGGTTTTCCTCGTGCGATGCATTGCAGCTCGACAGCAATCAAAGCTCCAGCATGTGTGTTCAATAGTTCTCCTATACATACGCACAATGGAAATGTAAACAATCCCGAGGCCGACGCTTTTTCATAATTGGAGGTCTGAGGCAATAATGAACTTTTGATAAAATGACAGACCTATCCATATTTCAGAAAATGAGGAGAAAAATTTCTTAATTGTTATTTATTTATTTAAGCAAGGATATTTGCAGAGCGAAAGTACACTTGGCACTATTTACCCCTTACTGCCCCATTCATCCGGAATCGAGCCAGTTTTTTTTCTACGTGGACAGACTTGGCTCTAAAGTTCTCTCCTGGGGTACTTCGACCTCATGAATAAGAATATCACATCCACTTATCCCCAAACCTCTTGGATTTCGGCGCGTGTAGCATAGAATCGAGTGTTACACGCGCCGAAGCGGTACGCGGGCAGGTAGGAAAACAGTGAAGAGAAGCAGCACTCTTCCTGGTTGTCTGCGATAAGGATCCTTCCCTTTTCTAAGGGCCAGCCTTAGCAGAGGTAGGGACCACTTTTTCGGGCGAAGGGTGCAGACGAGCAGAAGCAGGTATGCGCTATCCGTGTGCTCCATTTACTCCATCCCAAACACCCCATACAGATGTGATATTCATGTTCAGTAGGTCAAACTACGTATAGAAGCGAGTTTCAGGCTAATTTGGCGGTTTAGGTATTGCGGCGTTGGAGCCAGGAGGTTTCGGGCCGAGCGGATGTGATGTTCATGTTCAGGAAGTCAAAGTACCACAGGGGACAAATTTATAGCCGATTCAGCCGCGGAGAAAAAAGTCGGTAAAAAAGTGGCCTGATTTGGGATAACTGGGGCAGTAAAAGGTAAATAGTGCAGAACACTTTATAGATCAGCCTTACGAATAAGAAAACAACATGCGTCACGTGGGGAGAAGGAGAAGGGTATTTGGAAGCGAGGAGGATTAAGCACTCAGCCGCAACCAATCTCATTTTGGGATTGTGCGAAGGACTCTGTTCCATCCAAAAGCGCAATGGCTTTTGAATCCAGTTCGCCTTTGCAAAGACCTGCGGAAGCCAGCCGATGTACAAATGAGAGTTTTATCCTTTTAAAACAACACTGGTATCAATTTGGCGTTCGCCGGAAAATGGAAGAATTGGTTAGCAAATCTCGATGTTAGGGTTCCTACGCATTAATCATTAAATCACGTCCTCCAAGAGCACCGAATCTTTGAAAATAGTATTCGAGTTCAACGAATTCGTAAGCGCCCTTCCTTATTCAAGCAGTCTGGTACGCGGCTTTGAAGTTTGTCCCACTTTCGCAGCTTCACAGGAAGTAACGAAGGCGCTGCGGTCCTCATGAATGGCAGTTCTGACGCCTCCCTAGTTGCCCCGCCCACCAAAGCCATGGGCTCAGCTTTTCCACCATGTCTTTCGTTTTTTTTACTGTTAGATGGTCATAGCATTGGATGACGCGAAGGAATTACTGAGTGAGGCACAGACGGCAGGATATCTCTCTGTTGCATAAAGCAGGTCCGGAGAACTCGCGCAGCAACTGTCATGAGCCCTTACCTAGGTGTTCTCTATAAAGTTTTCTGCTTATTCCTTCCTTGGAGGGCCATTAACTGACTATAGGTTTGTAACTGAAACGCCACAATCCACAAAACACATTCGCGGGGTTTGCCTCCAAACCTCTCTTTGCAAAAGCCCAGATTGAAAGGGCTGAAAGTGAGGCTCAGCGAAACTTTTTGTACGTCCCCTCCGTCTTCGACATCAATACATTCACGACCGAATTTCAGATCACCAGCAGTTGTTAACATCATCCTAGTTGCGATCAAACTCCCCAGTTCGGGAAATGGTCATAGGTGTTATAGGGGCTAAGTTCCTGCTCTCCACTTTTAGCAATCGGCAGCAGATGGGTGAACGCCACCTGAGGCTTGCATTCATATCAATTTCCACCACCCGCGTGAGTCCAATGGAAACTGTTCTACAGTAGGCTTTTCTGAACACTTCTCGATGTCATTAAATTCTTGCCAGCGGCTAATGTTCAAGAAAGCAAGCATAAAGTTCTCCCAGAATACCGTAAATAAAATCCTTTTGAGTAGGAAAAGCTAAAACAGAGACCAGCTTCATCACAATCTTGGTTTTCGGTGGTATCAAAGAACGATCTCGAGCGTGAAACACTTGACACAACATTATTGACGCCGGGTAAACAAATAAGCACAGGGCGAAGATCAGCAAAAGCAACACCGCTAGCAAATCAAACAGTTCGCGCCATGCCTTCCGGCTAGAACTAGTACTGAAACGAATACTGCGCGTGTTAACCCAACAAGACCAAACATTCACGCCAAATAGATTTCTACGTATAAAAGCCGTCGAAAAAGTTGCAACAAGCACCTGCCGACTCACAGCCGACAATGCTTTTCAAAACGTGAGTTCCACTTCTCGCTTTCCTAGAAGCACATAGTATTTCCGCGCCATCTTTCTAACCAAAATACCCGTATTTTATTGAAATACAATAAAACGATGGTCCGCTGTGCTTGAGCTTCCTTCATAGAAGTCTAGTAGGGCTGAAAACCTCCACATTGTAAAAGGCGGCTAAGAGAGGATGTTTTTAAGAAAATGGGGAACCCTCGCTGAATTTCTTCCTCCCCTAACTTTCTGAGCCAATCTACTTTTTAATTGTAGGAATATTACCAGCTTAAAGGCACTTGGCACGTTGGCTAAGGACGGACGGTTGCTGCCAAGGTCGCTGGTGGGAAGACTGAATGGGGTGTTGCCAGACGCCTTTTCGCAGCCCTCTCCACGTTGGCAGGCAACCGCCCACCCCAGCCATTGTGCTCACTGCCTTCGAAGCCAGAGTGTGAAAAACCGCTTCTACAGTTTGTGTGTAGAAAGTCTGCGTAGAAGAGTCTTGACAATCCCCATAGAAGAAAGAAAGGACAACACGAGATGATAGGATGTCCTTGGGCTCAGAAG